AATAAATCGGTGTTGAAACTGAGACGCGATGTGTTCCAGACAACACTTGCCCCCCCCCCCCTAAGTGTGCGCCTCAGCTTCATTATGTTTCGCCAAGATCCCCGGTGAAATTGATCTGAAAATTCAATGATGAAAAGTATGGACACAGAACCCGGCTAAGGGAAGTGGCGACCTAGGTGGATCGTAGTTCAAGCACTTCATGACAATTCTATTTAGACGGTGGATACATAAGTGGTAATCAATGTGAATCCTAGCTTTTGAAAATGTATCCAAAGTGCTCGATGTTCCACTGAATAAACCAAAAATTTAAGACACTGCGTGGTGGATTCCATTTCAACCTAAGTGATTTCTCTTGTTTTCTGTGGTCGCAGATCGCGGAAAAAGGGCGGTCTATTCAAAGGGACACAAATAAAATCTGGTAGTCGTAACTCAATTGGCTTAAATCTGAAAAAATCCTCGTAGCTTGCTGAGTTTGGTAGTATTGGTTTCTTTTGGGGTGAACCCGAGCTGACTAAACAGAAGTTGCTGCATGAAATTGGAAAATACTGTCTATGGGAATTCACGTGCACAGCTTACTGCGAGTGGGAAGTGTTGAAATGCCCTGAAGTACTCAAGTTACTCGTATTAGAACCGTTCCGCAGGATCATGGTCCACTTGAACAGCAGCAATACCATGGCGGTTAACTGGCGCAGCTAGCCAGCTCACACTTCAACGTACGTATGTCACGCAATTTCCCAGGAAAGCAATCACAGTGTTGTCATACACCATATAGCAAAGTATAGCCAGGCAGTGATAGTAGCATTCGAACAGGTCCGGTAACACAGTCTGTCTGTTCGAATGTTTGGAGGACACGCAAGGCGCCCTTTATCGACTAACTACCTGTTTCACCTTCAAGTACAGAGCGATGCTGCAAGACTGGGTGGTGCCTACTCCCGTTTTGAAAGTAAATGGCCACGGACTAGATACGGTGGATTGCTTTTCCCTTTTAGATAGTTGCGTGACCAATGACGGTAGCGCAACAAAGGGGATAACCACCCGCATTTTCAAGGCTCGTACTGCATACTCATAACGAAAACACCCTTAGCGTAAGCGCGACGTTTCAATGAAGTTGAAAGGTTGTATATTATGTGCTACCGTTCCGCCTTATGCCTATGAGAAGTTGAATTTGCGAGTAGAAGCTTTGGGTTATCTTTGTTTACGTAGTTTAGCTCACGTGGGATGGAGGTAAATCGTCGTGTGTTTGGGAGTCCATCAGGGATAAACCTCCTAGCATATCGAATTCAGATTAGTAAACTTCTCTGGCTAAGGCACGTATTGCGTATGCCCAACTGTCGTCTGTAGCACTGCGCTTTATTCGTTGCAGCCGCTCCGGACTGGAGGAATCCATGTGGAGGTCAACAGATGACGTGGAGACGAAATTAACAGAGCCACTAGGTAGAGTAGGTGTTTTGCACCTTCCAGGCTTGGGTCAAAAAGACTGCTGACTCACCTCCCCTGTTCCTCAAACTAGGTTCAATCTCTGACCACTTTAAATATTCCCGATGCCTTGTATGCATTGCGAGTTTGACGGCTCTCGGTAAAGTTCGTTTCACTGTATTTCGCTGTACAATGAGGATGATGATGAAATCTGTTGTTGTACATCGTGATTGGATAACTTATTGAACCATCCTTCTACGTGGGTTAATTGTAACGGTTCTCCTTGATGTCGTCCCATCGATGTTATGCCTGCCATTTTCTTCACACCCAGTTATGCAGCAACAACTAAAAGGTCACCACTGTCGTACACCCTCAATGTACTATCCATACAGTCCATTGCTATCACGAAGAGACTGCACCTTGACGCGATGTGATGGCTTGCGTGCTTCAATGACCCTGCGAGCTACTCAGGATGGCTTCTCACAGCCGTAGATCCAATCATGCCTG